CACGTGGGAAGGTGACGCCGACGTGTCAGCCGAGGTTCCACGTGTCCTGGTCGTTGTGCCGAGGTGATCTCGGAGATGCCGAGGTTATCCACGAAGATGTTGGAATCCGAGATAAACAGATAAGGGACAAGAGTCCTAGAATAAAGAAAGACTTCAAGATGGATAAGGATAGTATTCTTGGAGAATCTATCCTTATCTCTTGTAGAGTCCAAAGTAAGCAATGAATGGGAGTCCATAGAAGTCAGGCTTCTAGTGGGACTGGGATTGAGTTAACTATAAAAGAGAGGCACCCCCGTGGGTCTAAGGTACGCAATTTATGCTTTGAGCAGTGAGTTTAGCACTTGATTATCTTTGAGAGATATACTGACTTGATCGTCGGAGTGCCCCCGGGTGGAAGAACCACCGCCGAAGCCTTCTCTTTCTGTGCAGGACAGCAGGGTGCCATCTATTCTGCCAGTGTTCTGCAGCTGAATTACTAAACAGACAGTGTGATCGGAAAATCACTTACACAATTGGTAAGGTTATCTAAGTAATAAAATATGGGACGTTTCATGGTTGATTGTAGAACGAGTTATATGTGTAGTGTATTGTTGGTATAATTTTATAAAATTGAAATGATGAAAGATATGAGGAATTGATGGGTTAAAATGTTGGAAAGAGAGTCTGTTTCCTTCTAACTTGTGACCGGTAAAGCATGGTGCTTCACAGAGATTCTGCCTTCCTTCCGAAGTAACGCATGATAAAGCGTGTGGACTATTGTGCCTTATAGGCTAGCCACTAGTAAAGTGTGGCGCTTTGAGCACTACAGGAAATTGCACTTTTGGTGACTACTTTTGGTGACGACGTCAATTTTTCATCGCCAAAAGTATATTTTTGGCGGCACAGTGATCAATTTCGTTGGTAAAAGTATACCTTTACCGACGCAATTTGTTAACGTCGCTAAAAAAGCATAACATTCATTTGGCGGCAAAATTTTTGGTTGGCGCCAAAATTTCAAAACTTTTAGCTACGAGGCTTATGTTTTAGCAACGCAATGAGCGTTGCTATTATTGTGCTTACTTTTGGCAACAACAAGTTTGCGTGGGCAAAGAGTTAATCATTTAGCGACGATAACACTATTCGTCGGTAAAAGTTTTGCTAGTGAAATGATGTGATTTAGTGATTTGTGTTTTTATTATAACTTTTTAAAGAGTTTTAAATATTCTAGTTAATGAATTGTAAAATTAAAATGATCATTGAATTAGATCACAAGATGAACCCATTAAGCCCAAACACACTCTTAAGTTGAGATGACTAATTTGAGATAATTTAAACTTTTTCAAAGAATGTGGTTAGATTATCAATTTCAATATGTTTTGTTTTATTTTCAAAAACTAGTTTCAAAATTTTTTTTGCTAAAAAATAAAAAAAAATTGGGTTAAAAAAAAAAAAACTTATTATTTTTGTATAATTTTATCTTTTAGGTCATAAATACTTTTTAAAATTTTAAAAATATAATTTTGATTTTTATTGCTCTCAAATTGTTTTTAATTTAAAAAAAAAACCTAAAAATTGTATTGAATTGTTTTTTGTTTTTTTTTTTTTGGTGATCTCCCTCTACAAACATATGAGGCGGTGAAAATTTCCCTCCCAAAATTCCCTCTTTTTTTTCTAGGATAGGTAAATCCCCTCATCAATCTGCACGGTTTTCACTCTTGCACAAGTTTGTCTCACAATTCATAGTTCTCTCCCCCAACCAAATCACACACCCGCATATAGGTTTGTTGATCGTTGGGTTTGTGCCGTTTGCTGCTGTGTGCGAAACCATCGGTGCTTCAGTCTGCCCCTATAGGTTTGTTCCCTTTATGCTTTGTATCTCACTTCCCCTGCTTCTCTCTCTCAATTTTTGTTTCGCAAAATTGATACTTGTCTTCTTCCCCAAATTCTTCTACTTTTGGTTTGCTTTTCAATTATTCTTTTGATTTGGATTTCTTTCACAGATAAGAATGTTCCATGATGGTGAAATTGGATTTTTGAGGCAATAAACATAACATCCAATAATGCATGCTCCAGAGGGAGCATTTTTTTTTTTTCCAAAAAGTTACATCAATTATTTCTTTAGGTTTTTTTTTTTAATATACCAATGATTTGGAACAGTTGATATTTGTAATATATTAAGGGATGATTATGGGCAGTTTCCCATTTTTTTATCATTAAAAAAAAAAAAGAACAAGAAAAGAAACCAACAACTATAGTTAATTGATTTTGTTGGAAAAAAACAGGTTGATAATTAGCTGACTTCTATTGTTATAAATTTTAGTGTTTTCTTGGGAGTGATAACAAAATGATCTTCTGCATGTTTTCTTACAGTTTACCTGTAAAGATATAAAATGGAATCCACAATTTTCAATATGGTCCGTCGTTCAAAATTGGGTTTTTGCGGCTTTACATCAATAACATACAGTAAATGTACGTTGTAGTTTCTCACTTTTACGACTTATTTTTTTTGCATGTCGTAAATAATTTCCTAACCACGACGTGTCTATTGTGTAGGTTGTAAATGCTAATAACAATAATTTTTTTATGACTTGTAATGTTAGCTATAAATAATCAAATTTTTTATGGCGTGCATATTGCATGCCATCAATACATCAATTATACACTACACGCGTACATCAACTGTTAAAAATATTAAACATTTTATGGCACACAAAAAGCCAACCGTTCAAAAATTGCACTTTCTACGACGCACAAAAAACTAACTGTTAAAAATATTACACTTTCCATGACACGCAATTACTGTTATGAAAGGTACGACTTAAAAATAAATAAATAAATAAAAAGCTCCAAAATGAAAATTTGGAACGCCAAACACCAAAACACAATTTCAAAAAAACAAATATAACAAAATCACCACCCCAAAAAAAAAAAAAACAAAAAAGAACTATTTCTCTCCAACATTCATATAACCACAAACTTAGGCCGCCACCACCAACAAAAATGTCTCATGCCATGGTGGCGCCACCCTGTTTCCCCACCGCGAGGTCGGCGGCGAACTAACCAAGGCAGAAAGCAAACATGAAGAAGGTGGCTAACACGAAACGAAACAGGAGCAACGTTGGAGCAGCAGTGGGGTTCGGTGGAGAGATGAAGGAGGTTCGGTGGTAGTGCGTGGAACTGCCTACACTGTACCATTGCTAATCCTCTCGATTTTCAAACCTCTTGTATCAGGTAAACTCTCTCTCTCTCTCCCAATTCCAAGCCCTAACTATAATTTTCAACTTCTCAGATCATTGCCCCTTCGTTGTTCAACCTCTCAATAGTTTCTTCACCTTGAATTTGCTAAACCTCTAATTTTTGCCTCCTGTAATTAATTTGATTGACGTGAAATGAAGAAAACCCCATTTGCTTATACAATTGAAATATGAAAACCCCAAAAAATATATTTAAAAATAAATAAATATGTCGGATTACACAAACCTGAGCCCATTGTTATTTGCTTTCTGTGTTTCTTGAAAACCCAAAGACCACACACCTATTTTTTTTTCTTTATTATATTTTATTAGTTTCCTTCTAATCCGATTTATTCTTTCATATAGAGGTTCTACAAGTCACCTAACTCAGTCATGAACAAGGCAAGGACTCAAATTAGGAACAAGTAGCAAATTTTGTCCCAGTTAATCTATTTTCAGCCAAGAATAAATTCAACATGTCTTTCACCTGAAGTTTTATAGTAATTATTTACCTGTTCAATGTACGAACAGAGGTATCTATATCAATTAAATGTGGTTTCTCTATAAAATGTTACAGTTTCTCGTGTCATGCTATGCAAGACTTTTTGATAATGGTTACCTTTTCATAAATTTCTGTTAATGATATGGGTTCCCATCTATTTGACCTCATTTTTATGGTGTTTGGAACCCTGTTTTTGTGGGCTAGTTTCTTTTTGCCTATTTTCTAGTTCAAGGTGGCTTGATTGTCAACCGAGCTGCCTATTCCTTTGTAGCCTGAGAGCATTTCCTAGTTAAAAAAAAAAAAAAAAAGAAAAGCTTGATTGGCAGAAATCTCCATGTCAACAATTTTTGGCGTAAAAGAAACAGCAACCCCAAAACAAATGCTTCCATTCTCTGCAACACTAAACTTGACTTAACTTCTCTTAATTTTCAAGATTTTCTTGCATAATCATAATAATAATAACTACTGCCATTGCCAGAATACTGTTGATCGCCATCTATTAAATCCATGTAATGTGTTGGTTTTCTTGTGCAAGGTAGGAATGCTGGATTTGGTTGTTTGTCACATATCTTAAGGTCAAGTGGCAACTAAATTTGGTTGTTGAATGAAGCATTGTGATTGGTTTTGATCCTTATTTGTTGTTCTGGGACATTCCTTATTGAATGCCCTTATGTTGTACTCTGTTCGTTGTAGAGGACTCGTAGCTCATATTCATTGTATTTTGAGACTAAAAGAATATCCTGAGATACTACTAACATGGTTTACTAACTAGATATTCAGATTCTTACAGTTTTCGAAGGAAAAAAACAAATACATGAATGTTTGTTTTCCATTTTTCCCCATTCTAGTAGTAACTAGAGAATTAATAATTAAAATCCAGAAAATATATGTGCCCAAATTATATGCCTGGAGGTGATAGGAAAAGATTTGAAATGCTTTTTTCCAAGTCTCAACCTGTTAATGGAATCCCAGTTCTCATGTATTATAAAAGAGGCATACCATTATTCACCTATTGTCATTGACAGAAAACAAAAAAAACCTAGTTCACTGAATTTTCTAGCACTCCATGATGTTATTACACACTTCCTGTATGTAAATGAATCGTTAAGTTTGATCATTGTTATTAACATAATTTGCTCTTAACATAATGAATTACCTATCTCTTTACAAACAGAGAGCATGAATTATTTGTATGTAAATTTGATATGCTGATTGTTATATTTGTATTGTCATAATTGTTTACTTTATGTGGATATCCTTAGATAGAACATATATCCCTGAGTTAACTTCTGATTCCAATTGCAGATCCAAGCCAGATCTATTCCGCCACTTTTGGAAGGCAAAAATGTTCTTGGAGCTGCAAGGACATGTTCTGGAAAGACCCTTGCTTTTCTGATATCTGCTGTGGAGTTGTTACATCAAATCTGAACGGGGGTAATTGTCAACTGCCCAACTAGGGAACTTGCCATACAGGTAAATATTCTGGTTTTTATTTTATTTTTATTTTTTTTACTTATCAATATCAATCTTTTTCCCAAGATAGCCTGTGATGTGATTCTAATTATTAATCCTACACTATAATCCTCTCAATTACAACTCTTTTTGTGATATTTGTACTTTCTAACAAATTGAAAAGAAAAAATCATTATAGAATAAAGCCATCCCTATTTTATCCTTCTTTCTGGAAAGATAATAAATCTAGATGGTTAATATTGATTATAGAAATATTTTTCCTTCATCATTTCAACTCTTTCTCAATCTTAAAGCGCATTTAGAATATTATTTTTTGGTAGTTACTTCTTGTTGTCTGTGTTAGATCATCTTCTAAGCTCTTCTCAAGAATTATTTTTTTATCATTTTCTACTAATTTTGGAAATCGTGTTTTACCTTCCACTGATTTTAATTCCATTTGGTTTGAATCGTTAAGAAAAGAAAGATAATCCACTTCATCTTTTCTAATAACACTTTTTTTGTTTTGGGGGTCTTGTTGCTTTCTATATATATACATCTTCCAAATTAGTTGCATTCAATTATAATGGATTGTCATTTTTTCTAAGTAACGACCTGGACTAATCTTCCAATGAAATTATGCAGACACATGCAATGGCAAAGGACCTTCTTAATCATCATTCACAAACTCTTGGCTTGGTTATTGGTGGTGCAGCTCACAGGGGAGAAGCAGAGCGTATTGTGAAAGGAGTAAATCTGTTAGTAGCAACCCCTGGCTGACTTCTTGACCACCTACAGAACACTAAGGGATTCATATATAAAAATCTAAAGGTATTTTTATTCACTCATACATGTCTTCAATTTCTTCTATGCTCACCAATTATGTTCGCACAAACTTTATGTGGGACATATGTAAAATGTACCTCCAACTGAACTTTCTTGGTTGTTTTGTTACATATTCTAATGCAGTTAGTTATGTTCTTATCCCATGAATTTAAGTTGAAAGTTTAATTGAAATCAAGGTTGTTAAATTTATGTTCTGTCATTATTTGTTATAGTGATTTCATATTGCATGTACTCTGGAGATGAATAACTATTGCAAGCTTTCTTGTATGATACTCACCAAGCTAATGCATTCGGGATGTTATTCAACAGCTTGTGCATGTATGCATTTAGCTTCACTTAATTTTCTTGTTTATTCTTGATCCTCAACCTCAGCAAGTTAATAAATTTTATGTATACAAATGTCTAGAACTACTTACTCAGTTTGTTACAATAGAATTGAATCTGATATTTTAAATGACTTGCAGCAATTCGACTTGGTCAGAGGTCATTGATCATCTATCTAGATCTGTTTCTTTATTGAAATGGTAGTGATGGTTAATTGGAATAATTAAGTTTGATAATTGCCTTTAGTTGCTTGTTTTGGAAATGAGAAGGAATGGAAGGAAGCAAGAAAATTGGTTTCCAACCTTTACAAGTATAAAGATGCAAAATCTGGCTTTTGTTGGCAGCATATCATTTGTTTTTGGTAAAATAGCGAAAATGGAATTCAGAAAACAGTGAGCTAAAATTTGTAATTTGGGCATCAATATTGATTTAGATTTAATATGTTCATAATAAATTTTGATTTCCTCAATCTCTCGCTCAAGTTTATAGAACTTTAATAATTTCTAGTTTATTTTGCTTTGGTATTCGGAATATATGCTTACTTATGGATGATCTACATGTTGTTGGTGCATGTCTATCTTTCAAAGAACAAACGTACCTATCCTATTTTCCATTAATGTAATCATGCTTCAGGGAGCAGCAAATAGAAAGGTAGCTGCCACTAATATGAATCTAGCAAGTAGCCGTTCTCATAGTGTGTTTACATGCATCATTGAAAGTAAGGTGAGCAGTCTTGTTGTTTTTGTTATTTCAATGGTTTTTATTTAGGTGTTTAAATTCTAATCGGTGGTTCATGTTTAGTGGGAATCCCAAGGGGTAACTCGTCACCTGTTCGCTCGACTTAATCTTGTAGATTTAGCAGGTTCTGAAAGGTAACATCATTGAATAAAGTATGCTAAATAATTAGAAAGTGGAGCCCTCTTGTTTGATAACAGGATTGAATCATGTACCTAAAATTTTATCAACTAATTTATTATCTTTTTTTTTTTTTTTAATCACAGGCAGAAGAGTTCTAGTGCTAAAGGTGAACGTTTGAAGGAAGCTACTAATATCAAGTCTCTTTCAACAATAGGGTTTGTTCTCCCTCCTTTTCTTGTCTTGAGCCTCATTTTGCTTCCCTCTTCAACATGATTTTTCTTGGTTTAATTATGTTAACTAATTTGGAAACATTTACATCGGATCAGGAGGAGATTGGTAGATAATAATATAAAGTGTCTTTCTTGCTATGTGGCAAAGAGGCAACCTCTAAAATTTTTGTAGGAGTTGGAATTAGAGCTATCCTAGGCAAAAATTAGTCCTAAGTGCTAACTTTGTAATTGTTATTATGGAGTAATAAAATCATATGAAGCATATATGCAGAGAAAATAGAAATCATATGAAGCATATATGCTATCCTATACAATAACTAAGTACTTTAGGGTTAATATGATTTCTATTTTGTTAATGATAAAACTGTTAACTTTATAATTGTTATTATGGAGCTATCTTACACAATAACTAAGTACTTTAGGGTTCAGCTCTAAGGGAAGCAGTCTTTTGTTAGGAGCACAAATGATATGACGCAGCGACTTTGAATTCTGAGTTTGTATGATTCTATATTCAATTTACATCCTTCCTTGCATTAATCTGTATACTAATCTTCTCTTACACTGAAACAACCTGCTAGTGCTTCCGGTTCAGATGCATCACAACGTGTAATTGATCCCAAAGGGAAGAACAAGTTGTGCAGGATTGATTCAAAAGTTCATGGGCATAAAGAAGTCAAAGAACACAATTCTACGGACCAAAGCGTAATCTCAAAATCATGTTTGCAACATGGAGGAAAGCAATCAAATATTTCAGAAACAGTTGAGGTACAACCGTTCAAATAGCTCTTTGACTGCTTTAAATCAAACATGGAAGTACTGTTTCAGAAAATTACAGGACCTGTTTGATTGTGTTTTTGTTTTCTGTTTTCATTCTTCGAAAAACATATAATTTCACATGCACAGACAGACACTTGGATTGCATGTTGAATTCCAGTTACCATACATTTTAAGCTTCTAATCCGTAATCAAGATTCACAAATATAGTACCACAACCTTAGATTTAACGGGCTCTACATTGGATACACTGTAGAAGATTTGGAGGATATGATGATTTTAAACTGTCAGAATTCACCATGTGTTTCCGATGTTTATTTGCAAGTTTATGCCAACTTGTAGATCATATCGTAGAGTTCAGATCTAATGCTTTACAAGAAGCATCTAAAGAGTCTGAAGTGAACCCAACACTAAGCAAAGCCCCAGATTCTCCTCTGACCAACATGATCGACCCTCTTCTCTCATCATTTAAGACAGAAAAGAAAATAACAAAAACTCCATGGCGAATGAAAGGTCCAGAAGCTGGTCTGATTGATACCGAGCAAAATGCAGCAGACTCACTTATTGAGTTGATGTATCAGAAAAGAAAACATATAACCAAGCAACATCCAAGTGAAGAACAAAAGCAAAAAGCTAAATTGGCTGTTAATGACAATGAGTCCAATTCAAGCTTGCATCCGAAGCCACAAAAGTAGAGGGCAAAAAGAGAGCAGCAGCAGAAAGCTAAGCCAGACTTGCATGCAGATATCAATGTAGATTCAACTTTGCAGTCTCAAAAGAAAAGGAATTGTCAAAGCTCGCCAGCCCTTGGGGAGACTAAAAAGTTCAAGTGCCTTCAAATTACTCTGGCACAATTTCGTGTTGATACAGCTGAATATACAAGTGTGGAAGACCTTTGCACCGCTAAGTGCTCATTCACTGGTCTTGTTGAAGCTGATGAATCCTCCTTTTCTTTCAGAGGGAGGGCGAGCTCCAAAAATCTACCAAACGGAGTCAATATTCAGAAGTTGACAATATTTTCATATGTACAAGAGGCTAATGCACCTGTATCATGTAGAGAAGAAAGGATGTTCTCCTCCAAAGTAGGTATTTTACATTCTTTTTTTTTTTCTTCTAATTATCATGCAAGGATTAGCAAAGAACTTGGCTTCAGTAGCTCCTATTAAAATGCCTTTGCATGTTGGTCATCTCTTCTGAAATGCCCCCAGGAATGTCAAATAATGCAGCTGGCCTGGAGGTTGCAGATGCACCAAATTCATCTGAGATGCATGAATCAGATTCATCTGCTGCAGCTGCTGGTTTGTTGCTGTTGCCGCCCTTGTGGTTGATGCTTGCTGGGCTACTGCTGCTGCTGCAATGTTGCTGTGAGGCGGTTGCTACTAGATGTTGGTCTGTTGGATAAGTTTGTGGATAGTTTGCCCGTCTTTGTTAGTTTCATGTTTTTATTTTGTTATTTGTTGTTTGTAATGTGGGTTCACAATTTGGATGTATATGGGTATTTTAGTGAGTTTACCCTTTTAGGTTTTATACACTGCTTCTAAAAGAAGTATCAGCCGTGTTTTTTTGGCTTGCACATCAACTTTAGGTGATTTCATATCAATGTTATTAGTTTGTAATAGTGGTGCCTGAGGGATGCCTCTTGTAAATCTGTAAAACTTATAAAAATATATAAATTATTTTCAATTATTTTTATTGGTAAATGTGTCGCTAAAAGTTTATTTTTGTCCACTCATATTGTGTTGCTAGAAGTGTATTTTTAGCTAATGCCAATTTGTCGTTGCCAAAAGTAAATCTTTATCGACTAACAAATCGTCGGCAAATGGCAATATTTACCGATGTAATTGTGTTGCCAAAAGTTTACTTTTGCCCACTCATATTGTGTTGCTAAAAGTGTACTTTTTGCCAATGCTAATTTGTCGTTGCCAAAAATGAAGCTTTATCGACAAACAAATCGTAGGCAAATGGCAACATTTACCGACGTAAATGTATAGCCAAAAGTTTACTTTTGCCAACGCATATTTTGTTGCTAAAAGTATATATTTTGCCCATGCAAATTTGTGTCGCGAAAAGTGTCACACAATCATCATATTTGAATAACTTTTACCGACGCAAGGTAAATTGCCGACGATGGATGAAGGCTTTTAACGACGACTATGTTCGTCGCTAAAGGCATTACTTTTACCAACGCAATGATAATTTCGTCGGCAAAAACTTTTGCCGACTCACTTTTGCCTACGGGTTGCCAACGTAGCTTTGTGTGTTGGCAAAACTCTTTGCCGATGAATTTTCCCTTTTAGCAACATATTTTGTTGCGTTGCAAAAAATGTAATTTCTTGTAGTGGCCCAATGGTGATCAAGTCTTCTTAAGGGTTGATAGGTTGAAGATGGCTGTATGCAAGCCTTCTAGCACAAATGCTCAAGAGAGAGGATTGTAGAGAGAGAGGTTCTAGTGTGACAAGCTCCCAAACCTTTTACCAAAAATGTTCTCTCTTTTTGTTCAAATCTTCTAACCCTTGAAAAATGAGATATAAGGCTTCATTATATAGCAAAATATCAAGCTTGGTCCAAAATATCTGAGCTAGGATAGGTGGCACAAGCTGGAAACAGCTGGAGGAGAAATATCTACCAATTCGGGGCTTTCTAGACATTTTTGGCCAATCGGCCAACATTTGTGGCCGATAAGGTTCACTTTTGGCCGACCTATGGCCGATGAGGTCCAATTGTGGCCGATGGACTTCCATAGAGGCCGATGGAAAAAATCAGTCATGATCTCTAACTTGAAGCAAGCCTAATTCCTTCATCTGGACTCCTTTTCAAGTCATTCTTGAGCCTAAAACGTAGCCCCAGAAGTCTTCTTTCCAAATTTGGAAGCCTCAATTCAAAATTCCAAGTGTGTTAAGAGATATCCCTATTTTAGTGAAGACTGCTCAGTTTCGGTCCAACCGGAATGATGCCCAACTTCAACCAATCATATCTCCCCCATCCGGACTCGGCTTTAAGAGATTCTTAAGTAAAAAATGAAGCCCTGGAAGTAAGCTTTCCAACGGTGGTGGCCCATATCTGAAATCCAAGTATTCAAAAGGATAGGCCTGATTTAGTGAGGGTTGCTCGACTTTCTCTTAGCGATTCAAGCCCATTTTCTTCACCAACTTGGTTTCTTCCTTCTTCTCATCTTTTCTTCAACTCCAAACCCCTAAGCAGGGTTTTTTGAAAGATTTTCAATGATTTCATCTCTTTTTCATTCATTTCCACTTTGTCCTTGCTCGGTTTACTGAAAAGCGTAACATTGGACAAAATGCCAGCCTTGGAACATCGTAGAAAATTCTTTTCAAAAATATTTTGAAAGAGAGGGTTTTAAGATCTAAAATCTTTTGGTCCAAAATGGGGTGTGAGGTTTGGATTTGACTCTCCTCTCGCCGAAGAAATCAACCCTTTGCACTGCACAACTTCCATCACCAAGTAAACCATCAATAACGCCCAAGTCTTAAGGGTGGTCAAAAATGGGGTGTCTACAGTGTCCTTAAGAACTTGCTGCTGGATCTTACCAAGACAACGCTGGGGAGTGCACCAGTGGCCTGTCGGCCATAGGGGCTTGCTGCCAGCCACCTGCCGGCCAAGGATGGCCTCTACCGACCAACAATGCAAGGGTACCGGCCATCTGTGAAGCACTGCCGGCCACTGGTGTGCTGTGACACCAAACTGCAACGGAGCACAAAACAGAGGAAAGTGAGGGTCTCCCTAGGGCATGTGTGTACTGTGCCACTCCTTATCATTTCAAAGCATCAAGGGAGAGGCATTATTGGATCCAAAACCACCAATCAAGCATGCAATGCATGATAGCCAAAGATCCAATCTTGCACATATTTCAATAAATGCAAGACAAACAAGACTCTAAGACCATTACCTTATCATGGAAGATCAAAGGCAATGGAGACAAAGGGGGTTGGCTCACTTTCATCACTTTGAGTATAAAGTGGTCCAATCCACCTTGTGTTCAACATAACGTCCGGTTGAACACGATGCAACACAAACAACATGCTATGCAAACAACATGCTAAGAGACTCAAGCATCAAAAACTAGTGAAGGGCACAACACTAGCATCATGCAATACAATGCTCAAAGGACTAAACCAGCCCTAAACAGATCACAAGCATGCAAAAACAGTGGCCAAAATGAGCTAAAATGACAACATGAAAAGCAAGAAGAAAAAAAAACATGTTCATGCATTGACTCACAAACAAGGCATAAGGCTCAACACTCAAAAGCACTTAAAGAGTGAAATATGTGAGAGTATGACAATGACATATGCTCTGAAATTATATACAAAATGATGCCAAAACATACAATCAACACAAGTACAACATGCTAATGGCCTTAAAACTCAAAGCTAGT